TTGATGTTGTCAGTACCGGGGCTTGAACCGGCGATCTTCCAATCACAGGCCCACCTTCTCTAACGTCTGCGCCACCACTCCCCTTATAACACCTGACAGTGTCACTTATAAAACAAAATCGGTATCGGCAGGTCAGACTTTTTAGAAATCGGTGTTAGGCCAGAAAACTGCAATCGGTGCACCCTTAGGTGGGGCTATGAATTTGTTTTTTTACTGGGGAAGATAAGAAGGTGAAGTGGAAGCACAAATGTTTGCTAAACCATCAAAAGAAATCATCTGACTTGAACTTGGGCTTCTTTTTTTGTGCCTGTGTTAAAAACACCATTGCAGGAGTGACCTTTAGGTCTTTTGATCTTAAAATAAATTGTCTCTACATTCTGTAACATTATGAGTTTGTATTGGGGATGACTCTCAGCTACTACCACATTACATTTTAACTTGATATTTGCAAAATAAACTAACTCATAACATCCATCATCTTTACCTGCTTCTTCCTTTTCGAGTCGTGTGGGTCACTGGTCCAGCCATCGCTGCGTGAGAGGCAGGGGACACCCTGGACAGATTTCCAGTTCATCACGGGGACACATAGAGACAAACAAGACAAACAACCATTCACTCTCTCACTCTCACCTTGGGACATGCACAGAGAGAACATGCAAACTCCACCCAGAAATGCCCCCAGCTGGGATTTGAACCGGTGCAACCTTCTCACTGAGAGGCAGCAGCTCTACCAACTGCGCCACCGTGCCGCCAACTCATAACATTTCTTGTATTTACTAAGGATGCGTAGATGTGGCAGTCATCTTAAATTGGATTGACTTCAAATGTTAATTTTTTGTAAACATACTTTAATAATTACATTTTATTTCAGTTTGTCCTGCACTTAACGAGATATTTTGCTAACAAACAGACAGTTCTTTTGTTTCATGACTTCTGTCTGCCTCTTGTCTCAGACACAAATGTTATAGTTTGTCAAAACCGACAATCTTTTGTTGTTGTTGTTGTTGTTTTCAACACTGCACTGTCTTTGGAATTAAAGGAAGCACACTAAGATCCACCACACCCCCCCAAAATAAAAAAATAAAATTAGCCTTGCTTAAGAAGCCAATGTGAAAACAAGTTCTGACTCCACTCATGGTGAGCAACACGAGCAACTTCTTACAAATATGATTTTCTACCTAAAACCCCAACAACCCCAGTTGCTCTGCAGCCCCTCCAGCACCAGTTTTAGCTTCATCCATCCATCCTCACCCTATTTTCATATCTGTCTTCAGTCACTGATCTAGCATACCCTACCCCACCAACACACACACATGCACACACCTCCATTCCCATCTCTGTCTCATGCTTCATTCCCACCCCAGCTAGCCTGCAGCCCCCCTGCTGAGTTAAATGGAGTGTGCTGGCATCAGGGGAGTCGTGTGTGCTTAGTTCAGCTCAGCTCAGCTGGGCTGCCACTGTTACAAACTTGGTGTGTGATTATTGTCAGAGCCAGACTCCTCCACCCAGGACGTCTGCGCTAGCGGGTACTAAGTCACCGGGTACGTAGGGCACGAATGAGAACACAAAAAGGAAGGAATTGAAATGGAGGCGAGAAGTGGGCAGGGAGAGGGAAGAGATTTGTTGTTGGTGTAGGGGAGAAGAAGAAGAAGAAAGAAGGTGGAGGGGAGAGAGGACACAAAAAAAAAGATAAAGGAAGAGCAGCGAGCAAAAGGAGAACAAATCATCAAAGAGGAGAAAAAGCCGAGCTGAGCAAGGAAAGAGCGATGTACATGTGTCGCAGCAGACAAAGACGAGGAGAAGACACAGAGAGAGTGAAATAAAGATGGAGAGAGAAGAATGATGTGCTGGGAGACAGACAGGCAGCAGGAAAAATCAGCACTGCAGAGAAGAAGGAGAGGCAGAGAGGGTGGCTGGAAAGAGAGCCAGGGAGAGAAATTAGATAGAATGTTTTTAAGTGAGTGATGTGTGCTGTGATTGTTTTCTCTCTTTCTCCTTCCTCCTCTTTCTCTGCCTCATTCTAAACGGTCGGGATGTGGCCTGTATCTGCCGGCAAGAAGGAACTCAATTTGGGACAATTTACTCGGCAGTCTCAGCCCTGATGCACCTCAGGGACAGAGAATAGAGAGAATGAAAGTGAAGGAAGATAGAATCAGCAAGCCCCCCCCCCCCCCACCACCACCACCACCACACACACACACAGATACACAACATGGCACACAATTGCTGCCGAGTAAATTTCACTTAGTTAGTTCTAACCCTCCCAGGCGGTCAATACGATTGAGTTTATAAGGCTTGGAAATGAAAAGCCTTGGATAAGGTTAGATAAACTCTGTGCTATTTGATTTTGGCCCACATCTCTCAGAAAAACCCACACAAGACAGATGGCTGAAGGGGATGCAGCGTAATCAGGCGCTGCAGAGTCATACAGGTGATTATAGCTGAATATATGTTTAGTGCTTTGAGTCGCTCCGTGCTGTCACTGGTGTCTCTGTACTGACACATTGTTTTCTTCTTTTAATTTCTTATCTTAATCTGAAGTTTATAAGCCTTTCAACAGATTTTGAAATAATTGAAGGCCTAACATTTATTAAAGGAATGCATATATTTCCCTCTTATGCTAGAGCTTTAGACTAAAATCTAAGTGCGACTAAGTCTCGTGATGTTGTGCGATGCCACCCTCATAAAATGTGTTATGAATTACTCTTTGTCACCGGCGCTTAATTTAAGTTGGATCCGGCCAGAACAGAATCCGGGAGCTCTTATTGTGACAGGGTGCGTTGCGGTAACAGTTTGCTCGGATCCGGCAACTCTCAAGCTTACTAATAATAAAGTTTTGAACAAATATGACTGCCTAGAATGAATAAAACCTATATTGAACATGTAATCTGAAAATAATTATATAAACACTAATTTTAAACATAACAGTCACTACGAGCTTCTTAGAGCTGCCCCTTCAATAAGCATGTCAGCGTCTACCTATCAAAACATCTCCGCCCAAAAAGTCCAGTCATTGTGCAATTTTATAAAAAAAACTCAAAAATATAATTAAACAGCACAACTAAACTGCAAATGAGTTTTACAGTTTAAGTAGGCCATTAATAACATTTTATTATTTATTAAAAATCCGAGAGAAATGTTTGATGGACAGTCACATGAAGTACATCACGTATCAACACAACGGTGCCAATTTGTCAACATAACAGTGATCAAAATGTTGAATGGACAGTCCAATTTACTTTTATATATATATATAAAAAAAAAAAAACAGAAATCAACCGAGAATTGATGCACATGAAAGCATTGGCAATGGAGATATTCCTCGACACGGGAGGTGTGTGTGTGTTGGGGGGAGGATGCATGAGAGAAGCAGCAGAGCATGCTCTATTCCAGTGGTTCCATCCCAGCCCTGGTCCTTGAGTAACACCATCCTACATGTTTTAGTTGTTTCCCTGCTCCAGCACACCTGATTCAGTGATTTAGTTACGTCCTTACGTTCGGCAGAAGCCTGTTAATCACACTTTCATTCAAATCCAGTGTGTTGGAGAACCGGAACAACATGCGGGAGGGTGTTCCTCAGGGACCAGGGTTGGGAACCACTGCTCTATTCACACAAGGAGAGCTGTTGGTCAGGTTACTTCTTGTTGCTCTTTAAAATAGTTATTGAATCAAGTGTTTACTTTTGTAGGCAAACATAGATGTTTAACAATCCATTAAAACACACCATAATGCAGGAAATGGCATCTACTTTATTCAAAATTTTCTGGGGGAGGACACCCAGACCACCCCATTTGTATTTCGGCATTGTTTGGTTTACAATCTAAGCACCGACTGCCACGTCATATTTGAGTTCAATATCCATAAAACTGACTTGAGTTGCAGCCATTTATTTATTGGCTAAGGTTAATTGCCCATGTAGCCATCTTGGATTGGATTGACTCCAAAACTGAATTGTGGTTTTTGGTTGCTGGAGACTCCAGTGTTTACACAGACATATCACAGAACAACACATATATCATGGAATAAACTGACAGCAACAAGATGTAACAAGCAGAGAGTGTAGATAAAACATGTTGGTCAGCTGTGTTGTAGACAGTTGCTTGCATATGTGCAACTGAATTATGTGTGAACTGACCTGGTAAATAAACAGAAATCTACATATTTATTTGCAACAGAGTATATGTGTGCCTAGGCAGTAATAATATTACAGAATACAGTATGCACTGCTTGGAGCAGTAATAGGCATTATATTCACACAGTTGGGACTTGCTTATTTCCTTCATGAGGTAGATGGGTTGTAGGAAAAAGCTGTTTATGTGCCTGGATGTTTTTGTTCACAGCCCTCTAAGGCACTTGCCTGAGGGCAGCATCTCAAACTATGCCCGTCCTGGATGTGAGGGGTCAGAGATGATTTCCTCAGCTCGTTTTTCTTCTCCGTGAAAAGAGCAGATCCTCGATGGGGGTCAGTGGGACCTTGATGATTCACTCAGCAGCCCTGACTGTTTGTTGCAGAACCGTAATGTCAGATTTACTTGCAAAAGCAGTTGTACATGTACATCCAGTAATTACTTTCCCAAAGTTACATTTAATTCTGTCCTGGAAATCATGAGGTATTTTGCTGACAGACAAACAGGGTTGATTCTCCAACAGCTAAAGTTAAGGTTTGAAGCCAAGCTGTTAGCACTTAGAGCACAGCCACACCAAGGTATTTACAGTATCTGTAAATATGACATAATTAGAGCAATTTCTATGTTTTCAAGTTAGTTGGGTGTGGCAGCCATCTTGAATCAGGTGGACTCCAAAGATTAGTTAGTATTCTGTATGATTACTTTCTGCAAGTTTCATTGAAATGCGTTCAGTGGTTCATGCAACACATGCACACATGAATACACCCAGACTCAGGCAAAAACATGATCACATTACCTTTGCTTTTCAGATGTTGCAGTCATTCATGTCCTGAGGGTCTGGGGGTAACCTGGCAGTGTTTTTCCTCCATGCAGGTTGGAAGCCTGGAGGGTCTGTACACCCTGAGAGACAGCAGGGGGCGCCCTGACAGAGCCACCTTTGAGGATGGACTTGTGACTGCAGTGGGGGTAAGTCCTATTCAGACTGGCCTAATAGATACAGTAAACAGTTTGATGAAGCAATAAATAAATAAATAATCTCTCAGTTGTGGGGAAGAGGTGGGCTGGAGTCTGATTTTCACTGTCTGTGTAGCACAGCAGGAAATAGATTTGTAACTCTGGCAAATCAGAGCGTTCAGCTACTTAGATGTGACTGTTTGATTCATTTAATATGGCCGGGTCAGGGGGAATTCACACTTTGGCATCATTTCTGATTTTACCAAGCACATGTATGCAAATGGAAGCTCATCTGGCTGGTGTTGCTGTTTTAATCAGTGTTGATTAGAAAAAGAAGAAGAAGAAAAAAAAGAAAGTGTCGAGTAACGATTAAAAGCACGTTCAGACACTTGTGCCTGTTTTATTACCACACTCTCACTTTTGTGTTCCCCTCCCTCGCCACCTTCAGTAAACCGTTCTGCTTCACCAGCGTCTGAGCACACAATGCAGCCTCCTGACCGGGCTTTAGTTGCCAGGGAAACCGTCACCCTCGGAGATATCCCGTGACAGCGCAGGGTGAAAGAGGCGGGATGAGAGGGAGGGTTGGAGATGTGACTTTGGTCCTGTCTGTTCTCCGGGGTCCAGCGGACCTTTGGCCCTGCTTCAGAACATCCCTTTCTGTCACAGTCACTCACACGTGCACGCACATGTTTAAACAAACAATAAGTAAATAACAGGAACTAAAGAGAGAAATAATACAAACTGTGTGATTTAGAGTTATCATCTGAATCAGTGTGCATGTGATTAATTGAAGTAATTTATGTGCAATCTCTAGTGACTCTATGTATGGTTCACGGTTTCATTAAACTGTAACTTTAATTACTTTTCTACATTCTTAACTTTAGGTGAAAATGAATCTACTCCAGCAAAATGTCCCACATTTTCTAATGAGTTTTACGTTTAATGGTATACACAAGTACGCTTTTGGATGTGGATAAATGTGGTTTTCTGCTGTTGAACGTCCTTCCATGAAGGACTGCTTGTTGAATTAATTGATGAGAACAAATGCAGGTTTTGCTTTGAGGAAGGAAATTATCACCTTCTTTTATTTTATTTATTTATAAGATGTTTTCATCCTTACAGTTGGTTTTTGGGAAATTAAAACCTATAATGTTGCAGGTCTATAGATAACTTTTTGTCAGATTGTGTTAACAAATCAAGTTATGGGCCTTTTCCATTAGTAACGGTACAGCACGGTTCGACTCGACTCGGCACAGTTCCAAGGCTTTTCCACTAGGAACGGTTTGTGGAATCAGTCCCTTTTCCAGGACCCATTTCTCTGGGGTTTCATCTGGGCCGAACCGGCCCTAAAATGTGACGTCAGAACACTGTCGGTCACTGATTGGTCAGGGGGTGGAGTCACTGGTGGTTTGAGAAACTTTCACAACAACATGATCTGCCATTTGCAATAAGTCGGACTCGGAGCAGCAGCTGTTTTTTGCAGGTGTTTTTTGTGCTTGGTGGCCGACAACAAAATTCAGAGTGAGATAGATGGAGCTCTACCGGTCCCCCCGGTCCTCTCCTCTGAGCCCTCTCAGGCCGGACAAGTTGTCATCTTCCCAGCTCCGAGCTCCGCCGGTCACCATGGAAGATCCTCCATGCTGCCAGCCCGCGGGAGCATGCGAGGCCGGGGCTCGGGCGGGCCTCGGACTCACAGGTTCCGAGCTTCACTGGTCACTGCGGAGGATCATATGAGCTGCTGACCCACAGAAGCATGCGAGGCCGGGGCCCGATAGAGTCCCGGCCTCGCATGCTCCTGAGGGCCGGACGCCGAGCCCCGGCAGGCAAGGGCTAACCGGGACGGGTCTGAGACGGATGGTGGAAACGATGTTTAAAAAGATTATTTGTATAAAAAATATATATTTTTTGTTAGTGAAGATTAAAAAATAAATAAACGGTGCCGGCTTTATTATAAAATCCTGTTTTCAGTTTAATGACTATTAAATAACATGTTCCAGTTAACTCAGATGAAAAAAATCACAAAAAGACACAAAATTATTGGATCTCTCAGGAATATTTCCCTCAAATATGTTTAAAGAAGAGCTACAGCCTTTAGTTCAACTTTATTCCAACCCACAGATGTACAAATCACAAAACAAGAATTAAACTTTAAAGCAAAAATAAAATAAAATAATCTGTGAACAAGAAACAAAACCACTTATCTAAATTGAACAATAAAAGTAGACACAATGAGTGCAAATACAACAAATGATGAAGAAAAACTATAACATTTTAAATATAGATGTTTTTCTAGAAACTGGTTTATCAGAAATTTAACGGTGAATTAAAGTTCATTAAAAGTTTATTAGCACACTCAGTGTGAATAAGTTTATTATCCAGGAGGGGCTACATATATATATACAT